TCTGCCCAAAGCAGCTGTGGCTACAGTGTAGATTACCACAACCAGCGTGTGAATTACTGAATGTAGTGCTAAGAGCTTTGGAATCCCTGGACTTGATAAGGTGCTGTGAAAGTATGACGTGACATGAATGTGTATGGGGGCCTGGTGTGGCATTTTCTGAGATCTGAAAATATACATTAGTGTTATTGATAAATAAAATATATTTTCATTGAAATGTTTTCAATGTAAAATGAAATGGCATTTTTAGGTCTTCAAACCCACATTGCATTGATCAATGGATAGTCTTTTGGACCCAGTATTTAAGGTGAGATAGTCACTAGGAAAGTTCAAAATATTAAAATAAACAAAAACAGAACTGAAGCAGGCTGCTAAGGATTTGAGGACCAGCAGCGACTCATGGGACGGGGGGGTGGTTGGTGTTGGGTGGGGGTTGTGCACAGGAAAGTGACGACGATTATCTTACAGGAAATTATTATCCAAGTCAGTCACTTACCTGGTTTAATAGTTCAGTCAATTATCCTCTCAATTATAGCCAGGATCAGCCCTATGCACTTCTAGCAAGATGCGGCCCTGAGCCCCCTTGAGACCCCAATGCTGCAGCCCTGGAGAACAGTCAGGAAGCCGGTCCAGGTCATGGGAGAACAGATCAGGCAGGAACCTTTCAGGAATCCAGAAGTTCTCCGCTTGATCAGGAGGTTCACTCCAAACAGGAACAGAGCGATCCAGGCTTCCAGGAATCCTCAGAGCATGAGAGCAGGTTCAGAGTTTGGTGCATCAAGCAACCAGCTCAGACAGAAATGCACAGCCACAGACAGGCAGAATCCAGTAGGAGTCCAAAGGTGGTTCAGGAGAACAGATCAGATGGAGATGGCCGCTTGATGAGAGGGAACGGAATCAGGAGATCAGAATCACTAGGGATATGCTGAAACACTCTCACCACTGGCTAGGAAATAAAGTCGCCTGACGACACTGCTTCCAGAATAATATCCTCACTGGAACAGGGACATGAACTGTGGACTAACTAAAAGTTATGAAAACAGAACCTAAAGACATCTAACAGGGAATGAACGAACAACAAACACTGATCTGGCCCCAATAGCTGGAACTGAGCCCAATATAAAGCAACAGGTGCAGGTGGATGAGATTAGTGATAATTGGAGACCAGGCAGAGTTAGGGAGGAGAAAGGCAGGAAAAATTAAGGCCAGATATCAGGGCTAATCATGACACCATTCTTTTTTTCTCTCTCCTTTTATCCTGTTGAGAGAAAACTGCTTTTTTAACCCCTTGAGCCTGGCGGGTCCAGTACAGGGCCCCATTGACACCTGCTGACGTTCAGAGATGGGAAGTAACAAAGTACAAATACTTTATTACTGTACTCAAGAAGATTTTTCTTATATTTTTACTTTACTTTACTACTTATTTTTATGG